CGACATGATAGAGAGGAGAAAGATGCATAGGCAGCTCGGACAGACTTCATTTATTAGTGTTACATCACATCCTATATCAGTTGCTTGCTTCCTAAGCGTTATTCGTACTGATGCACTTTATCTTTCCATGTATCGCTTAGGCGTTGCCCGGAAACGCCTGCTCAGCCACGCCCATTTAGGAGCGCTTTTTGCGTCTTCGAAGAGCCGGCCCTACTTATTAGGTGCAAGACGCAGTGGATGCGGCGGTAAGGTGTAACCGTTACAGATAGTGATAACAGCTTAATGAAGATTAGTAAGGGTTGGTGGCAAAGCAAAAAGTTCTTTGTGACTGTTGAGCAAGAGTTCAGCAAACGTAAAGGATCGAAAAGGGACTGGTCAGCACCAAGGATGCTCTCCTANCTAACGTAATTATGAACTTTCAACAACATTAGTCAATTTGAGACTCAGCTCGAAGCGTTTCTGTGCGAGTGCATACATCAAAGAATAGGGAAGAATCAAATGTCAAGTGAATGATTATCAAATGTTCATGAAAAATGAAAGTAGCAGAAGCGGTAAGGATCACTAATCCTGCGTGATATCAAAGTGTAACACTTTTTACAATTTGATATCATTATCCATCACATGCCGATTGTTACGACATAACAACATGTTAATTTCAAAACTGCGCTTGCATCTCACTTACGGCTGTCAATCTTATTACTACTGAAACTGATTCATATCGGTGTTTAGAATTTTCACAACAATGACGGGCAATCAGTGAAGCTTGGAATTTTGTGAGTGGAAGAAGCTGAGCCACCTAAAATGAAAATAGAAGTACCTTTGGCTGTGCGTTCCGGTTTTATCACATTATGAGAAGAGGCCGGCGTAACCCGAGCAAAAAACCCTTGCTGGAGAAGTTTTAGGAAAGGCTTCATTGAATGTATTTAATTGAACTGAGAACGAAGGAATGTAGGCAACAAGCAAGTTTCATTTCTTTGTTCCCACTTAAATTTAAACCCTATTTCCCTGTAGCTGGGAATAACTATGTAATTATAAGGAACCTGTCCGACTCAATTCCATTTCCCCTCTTTATTTCATTTCCCTTGTTTTCCTTCCGATTATGAACCGCATAAGAGATGAGGAGTATGTACTACTGTATGTAGTTTGTGAGGTCGATCAAATTCAGAATGAAATAGTATGAATAGCGATTCTGGAAAAATTTCAGCTGGAAGCTTTAGTCCGGGAAAACAGTTTTGTTCATGAAAGGATTGCTATAGCCTGAGGAGGGTGCTGTAATTATCGGAGATTCGTTCGAAAGGACCGTTTCTGGTCTGGAGAGCTGTCAAGCAAATCGTCGAAAAATCCCTCCCCACTGTACCGCCTCCCAGAGACAACATCTTGATGATTTTTGATTAAAGCCGGCGAGATTTTCTCGAGGTATATCTCTCGAGGTATATGGTTGCGATTGGTATTTGACTAGGGATGGTGAGGCGTACTTTGAGATGTGTGATAGAAACCGGTAGAATTTGTCATAACTAGACCCATATTAATTCAAATTACTTCGAGAGGAGTCTCATTAGCGGCAATCATACACTAACAAATGCGAGCTCAATGACAGGAGACAGAATGGAGAGGACATGATCTCGTCCCTGAATCTCCAACGTTGAAAATCGAGAGATGAAATGGAAATCAGTAATGAAAAATAGAGGCCAAGAATGCCTTCTGTTGAGGTAACCTGTGCTTTTTGCTTCCTTAGTCTTTGGCCTATTTTGACAGCCTTCACACTTCCACTGCATAACCTGGCAGAGCGAAATGTGACAGGCGAAGAGGTATGGGCGGCGGTGGCGAAATATGCCCCTTTTGAATGACCCACACTGATATTTATTTTTCAGGTGCCTGCCTGGTTTTTTCAAGCATCACTTCAAGCAGATATCCCACGGGACGCTGGAACACACAAAGTATAGGTTAGATTAGAATAATAATAATTGTTTTCAAATAGTGCTTGGGATCAATGCGTTCCTCTGTTGCCGCGAGACCGTTCTCAGAGATTTGCCTTTTGTGCGTGTCCACGAGAATTCGGGCATAAATACCGCCTTTCAGGCTGTGGGATCCCGAAGCCTACGCCTTTCGTCTGTCCTCTCCGGCTGGTGTGAAGTATGAAGCGCACTATCGCGGTACATATGCTGTTTAGTTGTGAGCGTCCAAGTGGGGCTCTATTTTCCCCACACACTTCCGAAGATGGTGAGTATCTCAACCCTGCTCAGAATGCAGAAACACGTAGGCTTCACAGCAAACCCGCTGGGCCATCCCATTTTGAACTAATGAAGCTCAAAGGGGATAGACGCTCTCTGTGTTTTTGTCACTGGAAGGTAACCTTTAACGCCTGAATGCTGATTCAAAATCAGACTAGAAGGGTTTTTCGACTCATTGATGTTATGTTTGAGGGCTGATGAAGCATAACTTCGTATATATCACAAAACTGTCACAATTTCACCTATCTGATGACACAGCACGATCGTTGCAAAGATTGTTCAGGCGGACAGTGTGCAGGAAAATCAAACATCGCCGAGTGTACGTGCGAAAAGGTGTCCATTTCCTTCAATTTCTCATTTCTCACCTCCTATGAGTGCTTCGGACTATAGGCAATGCAGATACAGAAAAACAAATAACAACAACAACAACAACCCAAAACAGCAAAAGAGGAAGTCCGGGGAAGCCAGGAAAAGGATGTACTACAAGAAATTGGCCAACTAGGTTGACCGGAGCTATATGCCACCAGTTGACAATGATGTCCTTCACTATCTGTTCACTTCACTAACTTAGAGTCAATAGGACCTCGAAACTCAAGTTTACCGACAACCGTCCTGTACATTGCAACTCCAGTAGCACCAAGCCTCGAAGAAAAAGAGATAGCCAGAAGAACCACTTATAGAGAGAGAGATGAAAACTACAGGATGCTGTCCGGTCTGAGCATATCGTCTCTAAAACCAACTTGTCACTTTTATCGGAACGCCACAAAAAGGGATGCGTAATACGCCACGAACAATACTAACTTCCGCTTTTTTCTAAGCTGGCCCGCCTAGGTGTGGCCGAGTTGCCTCAATCGCTGTTTTGAGATCGAGTTACGTTTTTTGTCGTGTTTTTTTTAATAGAATCACCGGATTTTGGGCGTAGGCTCTTCCTTTGTAACTAAACTTTCTTTTCCGCGTTCGCGAGCTGCTTTTACATACATACATCTTTCCGGATGTGTTGCTTTGTTTGAATCAGTGACATGGATTATAATTGGGGCAAGAGTTTATGATAGGACGATCTGATTTTCTTACAAAATCTTGGAAGAAATTTTCTCAAAATATGCCCAACTCTTGTTTACCAACAGCGACGACATGTTGTGTTGAAGCGCCTTGCAGATAGAATTACGGATCAAATGACTCTGTAGACACCCACCATACTGCACAACACTTTATGTAATGAAAACAGTGTGGATTATCTCATGCGTATTTTCCGTGAATGAATTTTCTGAAAAATGGACGATTAACCTTAGAAGATAATACCACTAAGTGTAGATGTAAGTGTTGAAACCCGTTTCATGTCGTCCATCACACCTCCCATAAAAGGTGACACATTGATGCCATTCAGCAACGAACTGATCCATATTTGAAGGGGAATTACGTATAACATAAAGTGCATTTGTCCCTTACCGCTACCACCCATACCCATACGTGGGAGCAACGCTCTATCTGTGGGGATGTCCCTATGTGCCATGAAATCAGGCATTACGTGAACGCCTTTGCAAAGTCCCTGCAGGTTTCGATTACGTAGAACATGGACCAGAATCCGTGACACTGACCAAAAGGAGCCCAGTACAGGCGCAGGTAGAGGAGGCAAAAATCATCACTGTTCAAGCCAAATCACGTGTCACTCGATTTTAACAACCAATCATTGAAAAAGAGGTTGCAGGTAGAAAGCTGGCTTGTGAGTACAACAGAGGAAGTCCATTCACAGCAGGGGTAGCCTACTCCTAGGAACGGTGCTACCTTCAGAACAGCGTAATGCTTCTGCTTACAAGAGCCTTAAGATTGGGGCAACACAGCGACACCCAAGCAAATAGCGGAAGTTAGTATTGTTCGAGGCGTATTTCCAGGGTGCTTAAGGTCTAACAACTTCTTGTGGCCGCTCGGAGAAGAGTTTTTCACTTGTTCTTTCGAAATTTATTAGTTAGAACAATCGGGATCGCTTTAAAACGAAATGAAAAAGGAACTCAAAAGTGGAAGTTTAAACGAGATTCAATGCTGTTTTCCAAAGTTCACTGGAGACGAATAAACTCCACTTAAATAAAAGTAGCATAGCTAAGCCTGAAAATTATTGGAAAAAAAGGAAGCCCAGTGTTTGCGAAGAAGCTCAAAGCATTCTACGTCGTATCATTCCGAGCAACAATAAAGGTAATCTAATAGGGTGATCTAATCCTAGAAAACACTGGTGGTAATAATGTAATGTTAAATGTTAAAACACTTGTAATGTTAAATAGGCGAGTTTTCATGAGTTCTGTGTAAAAAAGGATAAACTTTTAAATTATCTAAACCCTCTTTAAGCTATACTATAGAACGAGATGACAGAGAATGAGAAAGTATGAACGCAGATTGTGGAACGATTGAGCATGAATAGCAAAAGCATAGGGCGTGTGCCGCATTTCCGGATTTGCCTAGTTGTTTACGAAGGTTTCCCAGGGTTTAAACTATCAGGTTCACGTGAAACAATGGTGGACGGGAACGCGTCATTTCTGTTGTTTGCGGATCAAAGATGAAAGGAGTCGTTGCTGTTTCAAAAAACAAGCTTAAAATGTAGATTCACTCCCTACATGGGAGGAACCCTGGTTTACGGAATAATACCGATGAAATAGGATCAAATTTCGAGGTGCAACCGAATAGGAACAGACAAGAGAGTTGCTAGGGAAGTTTAATGTCAATAATGAACTTCACTAAGCAACTAGTGTGAGAGCCGTTCAAGAATACGATGAATGACTATCAAAGGATGAATGTTGCAGCCGATGGATGAGCTACGGCAGCCGACGATCGATACTCATGCGGCTCCAACTGGCCGACTGGGTGGCTGGATGCTATTTTGCCACAGCCAGCTTGACACCATACACCGTTCTTAGCAGCTGATCGCCAAAAATAGCTGTCGTCATGAATAGGGGATTCATTGGCAAACTCTATGATACCCTTTTGTAGCATGTGGATATCTGCTTTTGCAGTCTTTTTTAAAGGAAGGAGTTTAAAATCGGCAGGAATGAAGTGAAGCGTACTTTTCACTTCGCTAACAAGTTTGTCCCCTGAAAGAATTGGACAATTTTACTGCTATAAAAGTGGTAAACTTGTCAGCAAGAATTTAATTTTAATTTTACTTTTTATTGTCGGAGTCTCGAAAGTGTAGTCCCTTTGGCTACATACGAGAGGGGTGCCTATTTTTGTCAATCGGAATGACTCAGCTCTCAGCCACACCTCACACCTCTTACGATCGAGGCCTTGAGCTCACCAAGTGCATGCATGAGGTTCCGGCGGAAGCAACGTAATCGGGTGCTAGGCAGAGGATGCTGCACCATTGGATACTTCCAAAACTACTTGTCATGACCCTTAGCGACAATGAAAGGCAATTCTGGATAGTCTTGGCTTGATGTATTCAGCTCTTTACGCAACTGAAACCTAGTCCAGATACCCCTTTCAAGTCATTTATGTCATGGCGATCTCGTACAAAGCTCTATTTTCACTGCTGTAGAGGGGGAGACGGGCGTTAGGAACGATTTTGGGTAATCGATCCGCCGCACGCGGCTGTCGTTCTAGCGTTCTTCATACAGCTCAATCGCCATGCGATTACTACCTTTGGCATGATTTTACTGTTAGTTCTTCTGCTGTTGAATTTCTTACTTGGTGTTGCATACTGCTACAGTCCTTCGCGCGCGGCGTCTCTTTTGCCGCAAAGCGACAATTTCGTTTCTACTGCAGCACACCCTTCCAAGACCCGTATCTGGTGAGTTCAGGATCCTATCAGAGTGTTCCTTTTGCATTTTGCAGCCATTTTGCATTTTGTTCTTCAAACGCAATTTCGGAACCCGATTCGGAGCAAGAATTCAACACACCAAACTCCTTTCTTCCCATAACCGCAAGTGGTCATGCCATTGTCGTAGGACTGGGGAAAGAGATAATATTGTTAACATGCATATATGTTTTGAATTGATTCTGGATTTCCTAGATTTCTGATTTTTTTCTGAACATGTGTGATATTACAAAAAAAAGCTGATTGTGTTACTATCTCAAATTCTAACCTGCGAAGCTGCTACCTTTTTGAGTCGAAGTTCAACGTTCTCAAACACACCACAACTATGTACAACTTACCAGGGAATGTTTCAAATTGCCATGGAACTTTGAATATGCCATGGAACCTTCAATATTTGCCAGAGGATAGGTCGTAAAATGTTGAAGGGCACAGGTGAGGATTCAGATGCTTCTAAAATATTTTCGACACTTACACAATATTCACCACAAATCTTACTCACCTTTTACATAGAACTAGGATTTCAAAAATAAAAACAAAGGGCATTCTTTCAATGGGAGATATGGGTGTCTTGCAGTAGGAACGAAATTGTCGCGTCGCGAAGGAATGTAGCAGAATGCAGCAGCAAGTAAGAAATGCAGGAACAAAAGAACCAGCAATGGAATCATGCCATAAGTAATAATCGCATAACGATTGAGCTGTATGAAGAGCGCTAGAACTGTTATAACGAGGCAAATGGTCTGCGACAGCCGCGTGCGGCGGATCGATTACACAAAACCGATCCTACGGCAGTCTCCCCGGAGATATCTACAGTATACATGCCTACATGCAATTTTTTAAAAATCTATTCCAATTTATTATATGTTGCACAACATGTAAGATAAAAGCAAACAAAATTAAACAATGCACTGAAATCAGCCGCATAAAACGAACACAACAACAATGGCAAGAAAGAAACAATGGACCATAGACTTTGAACTATATCGAATATACATAATTCCAGCAAAATATAATCGCATCAGTCGGATCGACCGTTTAACGCCGAGCTCTCCCATTTTTCCATACAAAAGTTGACCAATCTGCATTTGGACACTCTGGTCCAACAGAACTGGGGCAGTTCATTTTCAAGATACACTTATACGCATACGGCATTTCTTAAAGACACCGTTCACGACAATTTTGGGTAATCCAGATTATGATGAAAAATGGAAGACAAGATCGAAACTAGTGCGACTGAGGTGAAGTGACAGCGTGCATCGGTGTTTCCAAAAAGAAAAAGGCTTCAAAAACCGTTAAAAATGGGGCTGAACGAGAATGAAACCAGAAAAATGAAGAAGAGTGGGGCGTCCGGACGAGCTAAACAGTGTGTTTCACTGCGCGCGTGTGGGTCCTGGTGCGAATAACAGACAATGGTAAGCAAAAATTCATTCACTTATAAACATCAATAAACAAAAAAAACCCCTAGTAGCAGCAAAAGTAGCTCACCTTTTTCAGCCTCTAGGAGTAGGAAATTGAATAAGGGATCGCGGCAGCAATAAGAAAAGCAGAGGGAAAAAGAATGGGAGAAGAACATCGCCTCTTCACTCGGCGATTAGCTGATTGTGCGTGGGTCCTAGAACGAATAATAGCAGTCTGTATTGTCTCGACACTCGTCTAACGTGACACCGATCGAGGGGCGGGAAAGCGAACTACGGCAGCAACGGGGCTTCCACTATGCCCTAAGCACCGAGATTGTGGGAGCAAGAGGGCCCTTTCTACCACCCATGGGGAGGGGGGGGCGCTGAGAATTCCTAAAGGAAGAACTCAGTAGCCTTTTTTATCGTGAACCGTGCCTTCAAGCATTTCGTGCGCTCCGGCCGTGAGCGAAGTCCTGCTCAAATCATGTACGCTCAAAGGCTATTTACGATAAAAATTACTTTTATGATACCCCGCTAGAAGAAATTTGTTCATACGTTGCTAAGAACTGGTGATTCTGGTTGTAAAGGGAATCTAAAATGGAAGTTATGCAGTTACTAGCTGCAAAACGAGTGCCAAAAAACGGAGGAAATAATTGAATTTGCCCAAAGTACTCCAGGTGACCATACATGAATAGGAATTGCATATTTCCAAACTTTTCAGGGTAACTTTAGCTGGATGAGACTACATTTTGATACCCACTGAGTCACCGAATCGACAAAAATCATATTTCTTACCGACTGCGGGATTCGTTGTTTGTCATTTCACGCAGAATTTAGAAGACAATTCAGATGGCCCCGATAAAATTGCTCAAAATTTTCAGAGGTGTAACAGAAGACGGAAATAATGTGGACATAGCAAGTGTTCAGTGTTAGAAATTTCAAAAATTTTCCCGTTTCATGGAAGCAATGAAAGGAACAGTCGTGAAGAACAAGCTGTTCATTTACCAGTCGAATCTCTACAAGGGTGTGCGTTGTTGTTTTAGAGATGGGTGTTCGGTTTTCAATCACCCCAAAAACGTTCAAAAAAATTTTTTTCAAGTACCTGTGGACCATTGATAATGTTTAAGGTATATAGTCTTCCGGCTTAGCAAAAATTGGACCCTCAGAAATTCTTCATGGAAATCTCGGAAAAAATCTAGAAGAATTCATTTCAAATGATTGTGTGCATATCAAAAAGCGTTTGATTATTGCCTAATTTTTGTTTACTTTGCTCAACTACTCCATTCGTTTTTCTTTTATGGATAGGCATTTGCCCATAAAAATAATAATATTCTCTGGCCTCATAGTACTCCAAAGTTTCAGAAATCATGGAATCACAGGGACATGACTACATATGTAAGAAGCCCGTATGCCTCATGTGGCGCTGTCATATCTGGAAAAGGGCCTAGATAGGGCTTTACAAAGATTTAAAGAGTATACCGTGTGAACTTTCGGACGAGTTTTACCAGCATTGTAGAAGCTGCACCAATCGCAAGGAAACCAATGTAGGAAGATAAAACAACTTGTCATGACCTGTGACAGTGGAAGTTCTGGCTCAATATAGCCACTTCTTTGCGCAAATGCAGCAGCTGAAATCTCGTCCGAATACCCTTTACATATTATTTCCGTCATGGTAATCTCGCCCAACCTCTATTATCCCTACCTTCGAAGAACCCTGTTTTTCTCGAAATCGGCGAGTTTTCTCTCTTTCTTCACTACCGATGAACTATTCCAACATTACACATCCACTTTTCGACTGAAAGGAGTTACTTCAACATCACCATGGGCTGTGCCTCTAAGTAAGTATTTAACTTCAGTTCCCAACCACATATTCCGAAATGAGTGCGTATTTTAAATCACAATCGAACTCATTTCGCGCAGACTTTGTATACCCAAGATCCTCTACGCCCTCGCGATCGGGACCTAGTTCAGAACTTCTTGCCTGCTATCACCGTGTCTAAAAGGCACCGTTCACGATTATTTAGTAGTATCCGGTATTCCACAGATAGTGATAGATAAGGCCTACATCAGGACAATGGTAAAGCATAAAACGCGAAAAACAGCAAAAAAAGAAATATAAACGGTCAAAAAAAAAAAGAGAAAAAGGGGTTGGACGAGTTTCATAATGGAAAAACGGGGGTTAAGGGAATTGCAGGCGAGCAGACGAATGCGACGTAATGTCTGCCATAGCACACAACACGCTCAAACGGCTGATTTTCGCTTCTTCGTTAATATTATTTATTCTACTGACGATATTGAGATTTTGAGATTATTGTGCTTGATCCTTTTGATGACGGCTGAGAATGATTTACTAGAACGGAATAGAGTAGAACATCAGTCGAATAGTAGAAATACAGCCGAATACTTGTACCAGAAGGAGGCGGTCGACCAGCTGACCGACTCTGGCAATTTGCCAACCAGCTTATCGATTTTTCACCAACTTCGCTCTAATGCGAAAGTGGTGAAAGGTAATTAGATTCCGTAGTCAGCCTAGCGAGGGGCGGAGGGCGACCGTGGTTCACTCGCCGGCCCCTTGTTGTGCCCTATCCAGACCGTTTTCCGACCTCATTCCTGCACAAATGGTATCAGAGGGGCGTCGAATTCAAACCATGTGCAAATCTCCGGAACCATTTTTTCGTGAACTGCGCCTTTAATGATGCCGCCTATACTCGTACCAAAATACTCGACGTACAAATTAGCTATTTTCGCGTACCCGCGTCCCACCTGCCATTAGTGTTCACATCCTGTCAATCGCGCCATCTTTACCCCTAATAAATTTGAACATTCTACAGTGCGTCGCATAATGACACAGCCAAACATGAATGTCATCAAAACTCACGTTCCAGGGCCCTTCAGGAAAAGGCTTAATATGGAAATTGTGCCCTACTTGGACCGTAACTTGTAGACCAACAACGAGCTCCATCTCAGAAATACGGACAATTTTCCTTCATTCTTTCGGAAAAGGTCATTTTGCCTATGTTGCCTAACGATACAGCCACTGATCAAATCAATGTGCTCGGCACCTAAATTTTATTTATTTATTTTTTTATTTACTTATTCATGCGTGCCACTTCACCGCCTTAACTTGTACAGAGAGAGCGACACAGTCATCACAAACAACCAAGAAGGGCTTAGCACCTATCAAACGTTTACGAATAACTAAAAATTGTAGTTGACGGTAAGACACACCAAGGAGACCCATAGTGGTCGGGTAGCATCCAGGTCCACTACCCCCACCAGTCGGTAATGGTGCCTCAGTCAGAGGGACCTACCTGGACATCGGCACACAGTATACCGACACCTCGTGGAGCAGGCAAGCCGGGTAATAACCGGATGCCAATCTTGTAAACTTCCGAGAACAAAAGGTCACCTTTTAGGCGATAATTGCCTACAAAGAGAGGATCTTGCGTGATTAGTAATTAATTGAGCCCTAGTTCCTTCAAATCCAAATCACGACCGCTGACGATTGCTTTCTTCAGCCCACTGATACCTCCAGCTGTTTGTTTGCTCCATAAATATTCCTTATCATGAATTCCCATACGTTTTCCGTTAGATACAAGTCAGGGCTGTTGGCCAACAGGGCAAAAGGTCGATTTGATGGCGTAACCAGGCATGGTTGCACCGCTTCATGTGAATCGGGGCATTATCCTGCATAGGTACGAGGTTCTGCTGCCGATTCTGACACCAAAAAGGAAGAAGAGCAAGGCGCATTGCGACTCGATAACAAGAAGAGTTGAGTTTCTTTGGAACAAACCATAAATGAAGACGAAGTGCCCTGGAACGTGATAGGTAATTTAACATTTTGAGGGGGATATTATATTAGGTTGATGCATAATTATTGCCGATTTTCTCGTAGCTTCGTTTCTATCGATACAATTAAAATACTGAATTGAGGAATTGATAGGAATAATATTCTCGCTCTGATCAACAGACATGTGTCTAGGAAGTCATCTTCTGTTCGCCACATTATGCTCTACTACTTTAGAAGGATTGGGAGATGGCAGAGCCTTTTCGCGATCTCAACGATCTTTTCGGCCATGGAACAACCAGTCAAAGCCAAGTGAGGAATGATATTCGCTTATGAATTCACCGTATTCACAGACAGAAACTCCTATGAATTGTTAGGCCAACCATGTGGTGAATGTTTAGCAGCGAACAGAACTTACGGAGAAGTGGATGACTTGATGGCCCATGTCAAGACGTGTATGGCCTCCAAGAAATGAGGCTTCTTCTCCTGTGGAACCTGACAGCCTAGCAAATGGGAAGTAGTGCTTGACGGAGATGGTGGATACGTTCCGGGCAAACTATTTGAACATGTCTTTGTTAGATATTTTGATCTTTTTTAAAAATAAAATCTGTTGAAAAAAATCCGCAATAATTAGGCATTAACCTGATAAATTTCAAATAAAGTTCAGAAGAGGAGGAGCGCCAGGGTGGATGGAATGATTATCTCGGGCAAAAACCTGGGATGGGAGGAAGAATCGACTATACAGTCCACCACTTATTATTCCTTATCATGAAAGGTAGCTTGCTGGCATACAATCTTTACTTACAGATTTTATTTCAGGTATGTAAAGACGGCTATCTCATTATCTGCGTTCAGGCATGCGTATGTACGTCGATCCGGCTTCTTTAGTAGTTTTGAAACACAGATATGGGATCATTGTTCGAAATCACCTCCTTCAGCAGATTTGGAACGCAGATTTAAGACTATCGTTCGAAATCACCTACGGCGGTAAGTGTAATTTAAACAACCAACGAAACGTTGTTGGAATGGCGATACAAAATCATGTCATTAAGCTGATAAATAAGTAACAGTAAACAATCTTCATACAGAATGAATTAAGTAAACAAGTAAATGAATGTTCAAGCCAGCAGGTGCTTCACATCCGTGTTTTTTAAAGTTTCAAAAAAGACAACTGAAAACCTAGCGCAACCTAATTTTTTATTTTTTTNTTTTTTTGTCTCGAACAGTTAGTCGTTTTGTTATTGCTAATCATCTTTGACAAATGACTTTTAATTGAGTGCTTGACGAGTACACAAAAAGTATGATGACATTTGGATCCAAGATTTGAAACAGAGATAAAGATTTCTATTGAAGGATTCTCGCATGGGCCTTTCTCGAGTTGAGAGTCTCGTTCGTATTCCAGGCTTTCTATTTATGGTTTTGTACTAGTTTCACTTGTAAATCACGATGATAACAGTTGCTCGAAACTTCCACTATCATGTATCTCAGATAATGCTTCATAGAGGGACTGAACTCTTCTCGGCGAACCACAATGACTGTTACTACTACCCGTGTAAGGCACGCATGAGAATATAAAAAATACAATGACTGCGATTTGTGGAAATGATTCGAAAGTAGGAAAAATTGTCGGCCGATACCACTTTTTGTTGTAAAGATAACGCTCCTCATAATAGGTAGAGCTCAATCGGGGGTATATTCTGAAGTAAACTCAACGATTGTCTCCTCCGGATCTTGGGCATTCGTTCTACAAGTAATCCATGCTTCTCTGCCAAAAAGTATTTAATGGTAGGACATTTATTATGCATGACGTTTCAACAAGATCGTCGTTCTCAAAAGGTTCTGGAACTTTAGGGTGGGAGCTATCAAGAGTTCCAAAAAATTATTCACGCCGGTACCACCAGCTCCCGCGGTAACACACAATTCATTAATAATTATAGTATCATGACGTCACAATCACTAGTTCCACTATTAAAGCTCACGCAGAGGGATGTGAAACAAAAAGTCACCAGCTTTTGAAGCAGTGCTGAAGTCGCAAACAGCATGATTTTCTCTTTTGTGCTGGTCAATTTATACAAACAAGCTGTTCCTCAATTTGCTAGTTCAAAGGCACAGTTCAAGATAATTTTGTGTACCCGTTTTCATTCGAAAAGCGGAGGTATAGATAAGGGATAGTTCATCGGTGGTTAAGAAAGCGAGAGAATTCACCGATTTCGAAAATAACATGGCTCCTTAAAAATAGGGAAAATAGAGGTTGGACGAGATTACCATGACGGAAACAACATGGAAGGGGTATTCGGACGAGATTCAGTCGTTGTGATTGCGCAGAGAGCTGACTACATGAACCTAGAACTGTGCCGGACTACCTTCCATTGTCACTGTCAGTCATGACAAGTTTTTGAATTCCCTACATAGGTTCCGTTGTGCAGCCGGTGAAACTCCTCCGAGGATACATACGGTCTTCAAGCCTTTACAACGCCCTAAGTAGGCGCTTTTCCGACCTAATAGAGCCAGATATGGTATACGAGGAAGCCTCAAATTCATCCTAAAGAGGAATCTCAGAAACCATTTTTATGGTGAACTATGTCTTTGTCGTTTTCTACGCGAAGGCACACATTTCCCAGTTCTTCCAAGGTCCCAGTTTGCCTCTACAACAAGATGTTTGAACTCTTTACATGGCCTAGTTAGTGCGGTATAAAGGCTCAAAGATTGCACCGTGGTGCGTCCGAGGACGCACCACGGTGCAATCTTTGAGCCTTTATAACGCACTAACTAGGCGGTTTGCCGACTTAACAGCGCCAGATATGTTATACGATGGGCCTCGAATTCACCCTATGGGGNGGGGAATCTCAAAAACCATTTTTGTGTGAACTGTGCCTTTAATGTTTCCTACGCGGTGGCACACACTTTCCAGTTCCTCCAAGGTTCCAATTTTCCCAGATTTCAAGATAGGCGTATATGGAGGCTACTTCAGAATATACCGCCGAATGTATTCCATCTGTTAATAGATACAAAAACATTTTTTTTCACAAAACGCAAAACAGCTCGTGATGGGACAGCCATTAGCAACGATTGTTATTGCCTGATCTATAACTAGAATCAAAGCTCGGTTCTAGCGCAATCACTCATGATATACTGGCATTACAATGAGAAGTGCTTAATCATGTTTGCAGCTAATTGCACTTTTATGGGCGGTGATAAATAAGGTAAACATGCATCCTGGCTTCCGAAGCACCGGTTTTTCAGGGTTGAGGCAAGCTGTTTCTACAGAGGTAGGGATGAAGTTTGTTAGCATGATCCGAAAACTTTTCTGTCGAACTCCAGTACTTGTTTGGACCGTCATATACGATTCCTTGCTATGTCTGACCTTTCCGAATTGAATGATTTGAGCGCAGTCATTCAACAAAATCTCATGAAGTTCACTTGCCATGCATGGTTTTAATTCCTTATTTTTCAGTTCTTCACTAGAGGATGATGGTCCAGCAAGGAGCAGCTTCTCAATGGGATTACTGTATTTTTCGTAATCTGCACATTTGAATTTTACTTCATTTTCTCTGAGCAGCCTACAGTAAGTTCAGGTAGATTATGAATTAGGTTTATGCAGTCGAAGCGATATATGAACGCATAGAAAAAACTTAAGAACGATCGGACGGGCGCTTAAAAGGCCTGATCTGGGATTCAGAAACGAGCCCATCAAGATGACCCCTGTCTCCCGACTATTTTGAAGCTGGTTCTCGAAAAGGCTCTCGTTTAATTTTTTTAGATAAAAGTCTAATGAAGAAAATTCTTGAGGCGTTTATCATTCTCGTGTGAGGGATGCGCCCTCGCATCCAACTTCCATTCAGGATCGTAGTGGCATACTGAATGCGTATGAGGCCTTCAAGTGACTTGCGGTGGCTAGCCGATGTGCAAGTCAGTGCTTTTATCATCCCATACGAGTCTGGACCAATCAACCAAACCCGGAGGGATGGAAGGCTTGGTTGGCCTTAGCGGATATGTACCTGAGATTCGATTCCGCGACCACGCTGTGTGAAGTGCGCCACTTTTCACGACGAAACCCCCGGCCTATTGGTACCAGACTTTTTGGAAGGTTGTACACAATAATTACACACTGGCTAGCCCCTAAGGGTCATTGTACAGGCCACATACGCACTCACTACACCACGACGATTTTAAAAGAGAGCTCATTCGACTCGCAGTCACTTCACTTATCACAAGGTTTTCTGTTTTACGATGTCAATGATTGAGCACGGTTTTCAGAACCTCTTCACAAATGATCCAACCTCAATGCCAGTGTAACCTAAGTGGCACAATTTATGACTTTTGCTACCATCTACCGCCGAAACCACACGTTATTGGAAGACGATTCGATTGCGCAAATGCCGCACACCTGAAGTACCTAGGTACGTAAGTTTTTTTGGAGAAAGCTCTCTATATCCAGAGGGCTTGATCACTGCGATTGACAGGATTCTAATCGCCAAAAAACTAAGTCGTTGCGGCCGAGTTTTTTTTTATCCACACTTCGACTCTATCAGATTTTGCATTATGCAAACTAGAAGCAGTAGCGAGAATTGGTTCCAGCCAGTAACGTGGTTCTTTCTATTTTTTAAGATCTAACACTATAGCTCAGTGATCGTTACTACGTCTAGTCATTCAGGGTTTTTGACAGGTGGCAAGTCAGCGTCCAAAGATTAAATGTTCAAAGAATAAATGTAAAAATCAGAAGCCCACACTGCCCCTCTTCCATTAGCTAGTTTACCGTCTATTCAGTATCCTCCGAGTTGCAGTGAAAACAGACAGCAATCGCTCTGTAGCGGTACTGTTTGTGTGGTTTATTGAAAGTGTGACGGACAGTGAAGTGGCTTTAAAAGAAATTTTAAAACAAGCTAGAGATAATTGCTTAGCCCTACATGAACAATAATGCATTCCTGCTCTATCGCTACCGCGCACGATATCGCCCATTTCGACAATCACGCCCGTTCCAGCAAGGGTGTTCATGAAACTGCAGTGATCCCTGCTCAATACTCTATGTTGCGTATTGAGAGTGCTTCGAATGACTTAACAGAGGATTGCTTTCGAGACTTTTCAGGTCTCCTATCAGCAGAGTATGCCCTTCATGTGAAGAAGGATGAGTTTCCAGAGCATGTGTTCGTTACGGCAATGTCTGACAATCATTTCAAAGAAGGACTAACACTCGTGAGTGATGTTTGAGTGTAAAAACGGTAATAGTGAAATGTAGTAGCTCCGACGCAATAGGCCATGCCCTCGACTCCCCTTGCTACCCACGGAAACAAAAACTAGGGCCGCAAAAGGCCGGCGAACATCCGCTGCGCGCGTCCCTCGAAAGTAGGTCATCCCGCCCACTTCGCGCGCGGCGCACCCCACTGAAGTCTCGAGATGACATTACCGTGCCATCAAGTGTGAGTGTAGCAAACGATTTGAATTTGCCCATGCTATCTTCTCATTGGCTGACTGCCGTGGACCAAGCGCAACCGTATGCCCCACTGACAACTGCGACGTCTGCCAAGTATCGCAGGCTGACCCGCCGCATGCGACGGTTGCGGCGTGACCTAGTTTCTACGGACGCGCGCAACGAAGCGCACCCCAAAAGGCCGGAAGTCTGTTTTCTCCGCGGGCTGCTGCCTACAGCTACTTCAAAAGTTTGAAAGCTCAGAAATCGAGTGGGTGTATAAATCAAAAGCGTTAGTTGAGCGTTTGACGGTCTAGGAGTTCACCAACTCCAGCAGAGGACGTGGTTTATTCCAAATGAGCTGAAGTCGCCACTCGTTTCAGCGTCTTTGAGCCCTTCACATTCCGAAATATGTGCACAACTGTAGCAAAAAAAAATTACGAGCTGATCTCTGTTTCCTATATTATTTTTGATTTTTAGATAGCGAACATACGGGAACTATGGCCACAAAGGAAAAACCTAGTCTATGATTTGGGTCTGCCCCCAAAATACGTTAAGGAGCTGCAGGTAACATGACAAAATTCCTCATTTTTATTTCATTCGTAGTGCTAAAGTTCATCCTTTTACTGATATTTGACTACTAATAATAACAATAATAAGTGATACGGTATGATATGATATGATACGAGACGGTACGTACATTAAGGAAAAATGTCTCGTGGAAATCCGCCCGTTTCCGTTCGAAATCTTCCCGTCGTATGTAAAGGATCTATATCAGTATCGATGGAAACCTTTGATAATTGCGGTTAGTTTTTTTGTCGTACTAATCATTTCATATCAGGTTCAATGCTCTGAAAAAAAGAAGTGCTATAAAGGCAATGGAAATGGAGCAATAGTTGTAAGGCGAAGCCTATACCCAAGTATAGTTTGTGGAACGGATTCGACCTAGGGTCTGGCTGGACTTCAAATATTGAAATCTGGTTTATGTTAGAGACTAAAAGCATTAGCTCATAAAAGACTTTGACCCAAATTTTCATCCTGTAACGGAACAGATTAGCTCCACAGCGGATATCCAGGGATCAGAATCTTCTTACGGTAGTTGAGTGTGAACAGTAACTTACCAAAGTAGTCGTGTTGACGGGTTCCGAAAGAAGATATGGGCATGATATGTATAGAGTGTGGAGCTGGAGAAAAAAGTGGCAGTGCACCGATTCCGTTGGCCGAACAGGATCAATAACTACAATTACAATTAGACGAGGTACTGTAACCCCTACCTGGACCCTTCCCTACAGCTCCGTCATTCATACGTCAACAGGATAGCCAATGAAGCTGACTGTAAGACCCCCCCTTATATTGAATCAGTTTGTCTGTTATACTTTATTTGATTCACATGCTTACCTTCCATGCCCCGAGGGGAGCGGTACTATTCTTTCTATTCAGATGACCTTGAAGGAATTTGGAGCGGTTTGGTACATGGACACTTCGATACGGCGGAGAAAGGATCGTCTCGATCAAGTATATGATGAAATACGGTGTCGGAGGGATCACGATTGGCCAGAGTTAGTAGATATTGAGAACTTTTAGCTATATATTACTTTTATTGTTAGTATTGAACGAGAACAGGGCGCAGGTGGTGTAGTGGCAAGTGGCGCACTATATCACACGCACGGTCAGGTTCAAGTGCCCGATCGATATCCGCCCAGGTCGACCAAGCCTTCCACCCCTCCGGGGTCGGTTAATTAGTACCAGGCTGGTCTGTGAGGATAAAAGCACTGACTTGTACATTGGCTGGCCATCGCAATTCGCGGTGAAGGCCACATATGCATTCAATCCCCCACTGCGACTCTGAATGGAAGTCGAATGCGGGGGCGCATCCTTCAGACGGGATTGATTAACGCCAAAAGAATTTTAGACTTCTTTGAACGAGGACAAGTGAAACAGATGCGTAAGCTAATTTTAATTCGACGATGATTAGAGAAAAGTTCCTTGGCATGTTTTGAAAGCCAATCCAAAGCGTTTCAACAATTGTCGTTCCAAAATGAATCAAATCCCAATGACCCCTATTAAACCATTTGATGATTAAATGATTTGATACATTGAATCGTGTGTCATAATTCAAACACACCGACGCGCGTATGCGAAGCATGCAAATGACGTCACAGCGACGCCTCGCATTGTGGGTGCCGAGGTAGAACGTAGCAATCAATTTCAGATCAAGAAACTTCCTTGAAAATCCAAATGTCACAACATGCGGAAAGGTAAATTCAATTAGTACGATTTATTTATTATACATTCGTTCAATTAGTACGATTTATTTATTATACATTTGCTTGAATAAAAATGCAATAGAAAAGTATCGGATTCAGTCCGCATATCTCCTTGTAAATATGGGCCAAACGCCACCCCAGCCGGCTGACTTGAAAGCAGCTAATGCGAAGTGCCCACACCCGTAGTCAGTACTCACTGACTTCTCTTTGCCCATCCCCTCCCTTAATAATGTGTCTCACAACAGAAATCTGGTTAGCGCTCTGGTCAAATTAAACAATGGAATTAGATAATTTCCGGCGATTTTTTGAGCTCGAGGTGTTGGATATACTCCACACACCTAGATGCGTATCCTTTTTCCCCTCTTCCAACTCATCATCTTAATCGAATCTGCTGTCTAAGTTCGGCTCTGTTTCCTTTCAGTAACTATCAAGTTACAGTGAGGAGAGGAGATGGGGCTACAACATATTAGGTTGATGCATAATTATTGCGGATTTTTTCGCGGCTCTTTTTCTCTTGAAAGAATTTGACTTTCGAGTTCGGGTTTTTTCTAGAAATGGTCTACTTGATTTCCTCTACAAGAATATACTCAAGAGTCGATCCGCATATTCGCGAAACTAGGCTCTACTACTTCGAGAAAGATTGGAAGGTTGCGCACTCATTCCGCGATCTCAGTAACTTTTCAGCGATCGTTCATTA